GGCCATACCTGCTCAGCTCTGCTTCTGCAGAATAGCAGCAGCCCAGACAGTCCGTGCACAAGTGTGACTGTATTCCAACAAACGTTCATTCACCAAAACAGGGTCAAGCCCAGGGTCTGCTGATCCCTGAGCCGTCTGGTCATGATACCCCACAACACCATGGTCACTGCCAACATAAAAAATATAGCTCCACATGGCTGTGCTTCCACAACAACTTCTTTCTGGTTGTTATTATTGTTGTTACATGCTGTCGACTCAAAGCGACCCTATGTATAACAGCCCTAAACCCTGCTCTCTCCTGAGCCAACCTTATTGTCTCTGACACACCTACCCCCATCTCATAGAGGGTTTTCCTCTCTTGCGCTGTCCCTCCACCCTTCCAAGCACGATGTCCCTGTCGAAGGACTGGTCCCGTCTTACAACATGTTTAAGGTATGCCAGACGAAACCTCAGAATCCTTGCCTCCAAAGAGAAGCCTGGTTTCACCCTCTCCAGGACAAACCTGTTTGTTTTCTTGGCAGTCCATGATATATTTCAATATTCTTTTCCAGCACTACAGCTCAAAATATAACTTGTATTTAAAAACCTCTGGTGGCCGAGAGGTAAGAAGCTGTGCTGCAATCCCAAAGGTTCCTGGTTCAAATGCATGACCTGCTCCGTGGGAGAAGGATAGACAATCTCCTCCTGCGTGATTAAACTGCTGCTGAAAATCCGCTTGAGGGTCAGCTATGAACTGGTTCTGACTAAATGGGACACTACAACATTCGCTAAAGAAAAGTTTTATTTTTAAATAAAATAATCTCTAAAACCTATGAAAAAGTCTGTGCAGATGGTGGTTGGGAGAGGATCAGGGAGCAGTTAGGAGAAGCATTCATCACATTTTATAGTCTCATGCTGTTGTAATGGCTCAAAGAAAAGTCACAGCCACTGCCAGCAAGCTGGTTCCGACTCTGACCCTCTGCTGGGTTTCAAAGGTGGTAAATCCTTACTGGTAGAGAATGCCCACCTTCCTCTCACAAAATAGTGGGTGGATTCAAATCATGGACCTTTCAGATAGAAGTGCAACATATAAAGCACTCCACCAACAGATCTCTAACCCAAAGGTGGTGTCTCTGGAGGTTCAAATCCACCAGCAGTTCCAAAGGACAAAGAAGGCCAATGTTCTCCCGTGTGATTTACAGCCTCAGAAAACCCACTGAAGCGTCAACTGAGTCAGATCCAACTCCAGAGAAAAACGTTTGAGTTTTCTGAGGAACAAACAAAGCATGCCATTCAAGAGGCTCATAACGGACCTGGAGAGCAAACTGTCCTTTTACCTCTACATTCCACAACCTTTAAGAATAGCATATGGCATACTTTGAAAAGGAAGACTTAGTCTTTTACAAGTAGAAAGAAAAAATATTTCATCAGTCATATTACACCCAGGATTCTAGTTTCTGCATCAGTTTTATATTCCTGTAAGTAAACTACAGCTCACGGCAAGGACATGAGTACCTAAAGGAATGCTGGGGGATTTCCTTGTTGGGGACAGGGAAAAACAGTAGTAAAGAACTGCAAAAAAATCCCTTGAGGTGGTTCTAATCCTACCTCTTCTTCCCTTTCATTCCAGCCTCCACTTCAAATCCCACTTTAAAATGCTCTGCCATAGATCAGGATCCTTTCTCAAAGCAGACTAAGATTTCTTCACTTGTAAAGTAGAAGTCTGAACCTTAAAATGAACTCAAAGTAACAAACCTGTGTTCTTCCTTTATGGTAATCGATGTCAGTCTAGAGACTGACAGATCCAGGCCACGGTCTTCACAATTACTTGCTATGCATCAGAGAGCTGGCCAACGACTAAGGATGACAGAAGAACTGATGCCTTTGAGCTATGGTCCTGGAGAGAAGTCTTGAACATACCACAGATTGCCAAGAAAACAAATAGTTCTGTCTAGGAGAGGGTGAACCCAAGTTCCTCCATGGAGGCTAGGATTTTGAAGCTCCATCTCACATCATCTGGGCTGTGGCCAGGAGGGACCAATGCTTGGGGCAGGACATCATGCTCGGAAGGGTGGAGGGACAGCGCAGGAGAGGAAGACCCTGGATGAGATGTACTGACACAGTAACTGGGACAATGGGGGTAGGTGTGTCAGAGTCAATGAGGACAGGGGAGGCTTTAGAACTACTGTATATAGGGTCACTATGAGTTGCAGGCAATTCGATGGCATGTAACAACAAACATCATCAAAAGGTTAAGTTTATGTAGGAAGAAACAAAAAATGTTCAAGTCTGTGTGCAAGAATTAATTAGTAAGAAAACATACATCTTTCTTTCCAAACCCATCATTAATTAAGAAACATTCCTTCAAGTAAGATTCTTTCCTATACAAAAATTTTAAATATTTATAACTGGGTATTTCTGTCATCACAGGAGACTAGAGCGAGGGCTACATGGTGGAGGGGACCTGGGGGAGGGTTTGTAAAACAATGAAAGAATC